GGTGGGAGCCCTGGCCGCACCTGCTGGGCGCGCAGCTTGGAGGCGGCGGCGGGGTGAGCTGGGGAGGGCACCGGACCGGCAGCCTGAGGTGTTTCTGTCCAACTAGAGCAGCTTAGGACTTGGTGAGAGCGGAGGTTTGGTGGTAAGCAGACCTGAGGTGACCCGACTTGGCCGAGGATGTCGGGGTGCCCCGTCCTCTTCATCCCCCCACCCACGCACGCTCATTTTTATTTTCCATGTCACAGATGCCCGGGTACCTGATTGATCCTAGGGTGGGAAAGGAGCTGGGACAGCACAGGCCTGAACCCCAGGCTGAGATGTTTTCAAACGAACACATGTGTAGCTGAGGAAAAGAAAACTGTTTTTGTGGGTGGGGTTGGTAAGTTGTGAGAACTTGTTCTTTGGTTGAAAAACATGTGTGCATACGGGCACAGTACTTGATTTTATCGTGATGCTTAGGATCTGAAGGACTGAGTGGTCAGCATAGCCATGGGTGTCATTCCTCCTAGGTTTTGCGACTTGAATTTTCATCGATCGGATTTTAATGGAAGCATTCCTACATGAAATCCTAGGGGGAAGACTGAGCCCCTCAGGGTGTCTTAGATTTTTATGTTTGGCATCTCTCTAAAGTAGTACGCACGTTTTTTTATTTGTACTCGTCTTTACTTTGGAGATAATCCTGAGTCATGCTTTAGAGAAGTTCCTTCTGAGATGGAGCCCTCCGAGGTCTCTGGACGCGCCCCAGTGTCTCCTCTCTGCTGAAGCTCCGGAAACAGGAGGACCTGTGGAGATTGGACCCATAGCAAGGGGCCTTCCTCCGGCTGTGCCCTGTCTCTAGGACCGTGCTCTGAGTCACTTGTGTTCACGCTCAGATTTCTCCCTGTGCCACAGAAATTTTGTTCATGCTGTTGCCACAGGTATTTTTCACATTTGTATATTGGTGGCTTTATATTCATGATCCTGGGTATTTTCTCTCTTTCCCCAAAGAAGAGACTGGGCATGGAATGGTCTCATAATTCGTAACTGAGCAGAATTGGAATACTGGTCCTTCCCACCTGGTAGCCAGTTCTCTTTCCTCTACTGTACTTGCCGGTATGGGACTTCAGAACCCTCTCCTCATCTTTTACCCTGTTGGCCAAGTTACCGTTGTGCTTTGTTCAAATGGTGTAATTCCTTTTGGAAAGGTGGTTTTGTTCCGTTTTTTTCTCCTGGAAACTGGTAAGAGGAATTGTATGATTTTGTGATTGTGACAGCTCTTACACATTAAAGTTACTTTTCAACTTACACCTCTCTTCCTCTAGACCACATGCTTGAGAGAGGAGAAAGAATTACTTAAAAAAGTGCTCCATTTTGCAGTGTAGTTAGGGATAACGTAACATAATCATGTTACCCTTGTGTGCCTGGCTACTTGTGCTGGCCTGTAAATGAATGTTAACCTAAAAGACTCCTTTAGATGTCGCTGAACTAGTTACTATAAAAAGTATTTCACTTTCAAACTCCCACGTTTTAAGAACAGAGAAACTCACTACAAAGCCAGTGTTGAAGGTAAGTATAGATGGAGAGCATTTATTAAGTCCTCTTTTCAGAATGCCAGACACAAAGGTTTCAGCAGAAAAGCATTTTAGGGCTGGGGATTTGGCTCAGTGGTTTCACTGCCTGCTTTTCACAAGCTCAGGGGCAGTACCAGAAAAAAGAAAAGCATTTTAAAGTGCTAGCTAGAAACTCTGGGAAGGCAGTAGTTACAGATTTTTATTATTATTTGTCCAAATTTGGAGGTTTATATTGCAGTGTAGAGGTTGTTACACAGGAATGGCACTTTTGCCTTGGGGGATCTCTTGGTATGTAGCACAAACGATAAACAGAATATTTGTGTTAAATTTGTCATAGCCTGTAAACCTATAAATGTAGTTCTGCTGTGGGGAGAAGGTAACTTAGTTACCTGTCAATACTACATCTTCAGAATTTATACATTAGTTACAATGACCTCTAATGCTAAAACATAGGTGAATTTTCAGTGCTGCTTTACAGTCTTTGGGATAAGAATTTTATTTGCATCAAAGTTCACATCTTTTTTCTTTTTTGTGTGTTTTTTTGAGACAGGGTCTCACTGTGTAGTTGAAACTGACCTGGAACTCACTATGTAGCCCAGGTTGGTCTCGAACTCACAGCAGTCCTACTGCCTCAGCCTCCCAAGTGCTGGGATTACAGGCGTGCACCACCACACCTGGCCTAAAGTTCACATCTTTTCAAGAGAACTGATTTTACAAGGTCAGAAAGCCTTTTTTTTTTTTTTTTTTTTAATACTGGGGATTGAATTTAGGACCTTGTGCTTTTGAGGCAGGCAGCAGCACCACTGAGCCAATCTCCGACCCCAGAAAGCCTTTCCTTTCCCTCCCCTCCCCTCTCTTCCTCTCCCCTTCTGTGAGACAGGGTCTCACTATGTAGTTCAGACTGCCCTGGAACGCAACTATGTAGCCCAGGCTGGTCTCGAACTTGCAGTGATCCTCCTGCCTCAGCCTCCTGAGTGCTGGGATCCCGGGCTTGCGTCACCATGCCCAGCTCAGAAAGCCTTTCTTTAAATTTCATAATTGTGCTTATTTGCATACACTGTCTTTTAAAACAATTACTTCAGTAAGAAAGATCACTTTGGTTTTTTGAGACAAGGTCTTGCTGTGTAGTTCAGGCTGGCTTAAATTTACTACGTAGGCCAGGCTAGTCTCAAAGTAGTTGGAGCAATCCTGCCTTAGTTTCCTCAGTGCTGGGATTACAGGCATGCACCACCATGCCCAATTCAGGAAAGTTACTTTAAAGAAGAACTTTTTTGTGACCCATAATCTCCATTTGAGATAAATTTACCTCAAAGATTAGATATATCTTTGTCAAGTAAAACAGGCCCGTTTGGTACCCATTTGAAAGTCATCCTTCTGCTTCCTGTTTTGTGGTCATTTAACTTCTCATTAAGCCCTCCACTGGTGACTGTGCCAGAAGAGAGAGAAGATGAAAAGCAAATGAATCATTTTGTAATTGTTAGCAGCTCTGGAAGATGATTTAGTAGACGAGATGAAGCTACTCCGGAAATTCTTTTGGTTTATGTTTTATTTCGTTCATCTGCATTGTCTCTGAGATGTTCCTCAGTCACAATTCAGAATTTAGTACTGAGTAAGCAAGACCCCCCCACCCCTTCTTCATGGTTTCTTGTCTATCTAAACATAAGAGCAGAGGATGGAGAGGATGTTTACAAGGAGTAGAGATAAAACTTAAACTAATCAATGCTGTTTTTCCTCTTTAAGTCTTTAATGGATAGTTTGATCATTTAGACAGGTTAACCATTGTTATGGGTAGTGACTCATAGTGACTTTGCTTCAGTTTACTTTGAAGTATTAAGTGTGAAGGCTTTTGGGTGCTTTTTAAGAAACATGGGCTTATGTACATCCTCACAGTTGCTTTCTTGAATTATTAGGCTTAAGATCTCATTGCATCTTTGTACCTGAACTTTGGCTTTTGCTGTGGAACAAGTTCAGGAGTGTCATCTAAATTTCTTTCATGACTGCTCAAGAAGTTATCTTAGTCTGTAATCTCAGGACTCTGGAGGTTGAGGCAGAATTGTAAATTCGAACCCAACCTGGGCAATTTAGTGATTTACCAAGGCCCCCTTTCCAAATAAAAGGATGGGGGGCTAGACATGTATCTCAGTGTAAAGGCCCAAGGTTCAGTACCCAGTACTGCCACACACACACACACACACACACACACACACACACACACACACGCGCACATTAGTAGTGGACAGACCTTATGCAATAACAGCTGTTATTTTGATGTCTGTTTTTTTCCTTGTCTCTGGGCTTTCATTTCTTATTTAACTGTGTGGATTTTTGGATATTTATAGATTAGTGTTCTTTGTCACGTTAGAGGACAGCAGCCGTTATTCGCCCTAGTGGGAATTTTTATTGCCATTTTTATTTAGCCTCGGGAATTTTTACAGACCTCTGTGACTTCTTATTAGGTTGAGTTGCTGTAAAATTGTAAACAAATCACTCTTAGGTGGATAGGACTAAAAGATGTCCATAATAAGTGTAAAAGCTTCTCCTTTTCGTTTCCTTGTTTTCTTAGATCCTGTTCCTTCCGTTTCTGCCCTAGGAGAGGACTTAGGGAAAGATTTAGACAAGGTGTTGGAAAACTTGTATTCTTGCTCAGTCCCTTGCCAGCGCAGGTCCAGAGGAAGTCATTGAACCCTCCCTGTTTCTGGGTTTGGCAACTCTGCAGTGGGGACGGTAGTCCAAGCTGGGGGTGGAAGGAAGAAACTTTCATGTCCCATTTGAATTGTTTCTTCACTCTAGAACCCTCTCAGGTTTTACACCTTTCCTTTGGCCTGAGCTCCTCCTCGAAGTCCTCCTATTTCCCATTTGGATTTCCAGTCTTTCCCTCCTGCAGGCTCCGCCCGCCCATGTTGAGATTCTGTTTTGTTCTGAAGGTGTTGTGTGCTGCCTTCCTTTGTAGGTTGGGAGCTCCGCAGCCAAGGGTTGCACGTTTCCTTTTTCTGTGTGTCTGTATTGCACCTAGGCTCACCTCCTTCCTCCCCCCATGGTTGACCTAAAATAAATATGGGTTTAGTGAGTAATTGTTTTACTTGTCAGGAGAGAATGCTTTGGGTGACAGGAAAATGCCAAAGATGAGCATCTTACCAGAACGTTTGCATGACTGGCCTTTGAAATCACTCAGTCTCTGATTTATTGCTAACAGTAATTGAATCTGATGCTGACAAGGCAAATCGGTAAAACTCATTTCTTGATTCTGTTTACTTTAGAGACTGTGTGTGAAGCAAGTCAGAGCAGTGACGGCCCTGAACTTGACACTTGTTCCGTGTCTTACCCTGTAGCACGCAGAGGCCTATCTGTATGCAGCTGCTGAGTGGAAAGAATAAAAAGTGACTGCACATCTTTTGGTCCACATTGGAGCTTGTTTGCTTTGAAGAATTTGCAAGGTGGAGAAATAGATGCTTCGGGCTCTGATTTCAGCCCCTGCTGTGCTATGCAAATGTTCTCTACATGCCTGAGTGACCTTTTGAGAAAGAGCCTTTGTGATCTTCTGTAGCTAATGCTTGTTCTGGGAATTGTATGCCAGATTCCTCTAAAAGTGGGAAAAGTGGGTCTGTTCAGAGACCACCTAAAAGGCTGGTGCTTCTCCAGGATGAACACTGGCATCTCCGTGTTTCTTTACCATCCCTTGCCAGCTCTTCTGAAATTTGCTCAGCAATTTGCTTTTCAGGTTGCTTTGGGGAATGAAGTGTGTGAGAGGGAACTGACTGAGGCAGTTCAGTAGCTGGGAAAGTGTTTAAGTGCTCTTGAATTGTAGATAAAAATAAATCCAAGCTGGCACCGTTAGTGTATGGGTGTTTATCAGTGTCCTAAGGCTGGCTTCTCTCTGAGCTCGGGCTGATTTGCTCAAAGCCAGATCTGGAAGGTTCTTTTTGCTCCAAATTGTGCTCTTACAGTTTGTCATTTGTTTTCTATTTGCTTTGATTGGTGCATAAAGATAAATACTTCATTATTAAAAGGATAGTTAGGGGCTGCGGATTTAGCTCAGTGGTTCTACCGCTTGCCTTGCAAGTGCAAGGTCCTAAGTTCGATCCCTGATACCAAAAAAAGTATAGTTAGTTTTTATATTCTAAAATAAATACTATTTTGATGTATTTCCTTTGGAAAGTGATAGTGGTATTTGGGAAATTGATGATTTTAAATGCTTTTACTGAGAGGTTTAGTGTGTGTGCGCCTCTCTCTGTACTTGGGAGTGAATCCAGGGCCTTGGCCCTGAACTGCATCCCCTCCCCACCTCCTTTTAAATTTTGGTACCTGGGATTGAACTCAGGACCTTGCACTTGCAAGGCAGGCACAGTGTCACCGAGCTAAGAACCCAGCCCTCCCCTATCCTTTTTGGAGACGGGGTCTTGCTAAGTCACTAAGTTGGGCTCCAACTTGTAATCCTCCTGCCTCAGCCTCCCAGAATGCTGGTATTACAGGATATGCTACCATGCCTGGCTTGCTTTCTTTTAAATGAACTTTTTAATGAAGACTGTCATAAATTTGTACCAGTAGCTGGGCATGGTGGCCCAAGCCTGTGGTTCCAGCACTCAGGAGACAGGCAGGATTGCTGTAAATTTCAGGCCAGCTTGGGCTGCTGGACAGTGAGTTCAAAGCCAGATTAAACTATATAGTGAGACCCTGTCTCAAAAAAAAAAAAAAAAAAAAAAAAAGTTTATACCAGAAAAAGTCTGTAAAA